TTTTTTTTTGTGGGACTGGGGATTGAACTCAGGACCCTGCGCTTGCCAGGCAAGCTCTTATTCTACTGAGCTATCTCCCCAGCCCCCCTCTTCTTAATTTTTGAGACAAGGCTGTCTCTAAATTGTCCAGGTTGGGCTGGAACATGTGATCCTCCTGCCTCAGCGCCCAGAAGTGCAGGAATGACAGGTGTGCACCTGTCCAGGTACAGGAGCACTTTTAGAGCTGGCTGGGAAAGCCAATACTTCTGAAGCTGCCAACTTTTATTTAAAGTGAGCATTTCCCCTGTGTGCTTGGAGGCAGCCAGGAGGAAATAAAACCATCTTGTCAGGAAAGGTGCCCTGGGCAGCTGCCCCGGGGTATGCTGGTAGCCCTGTGTGATTTTACATCGCTGGATTTGACAAAGTTGTGTCTGTTTTAGTTTGAGTCCCTCATGAACAACTTGGCAATGAATGTGATGCTCTAATCCCCCTGGGTGTCCTCTACATGCTTGCCTTCTGTCAACTTAATTTATTGTCTTGAAAGTAGGAATAACAACATCATCCTTTACAGGTCTGAACAAATGAGAATAATAGTGTGTTCACGTGTTAGGCTGGGTTTCATTTTTGCATTTTTTTTTTTTTTTTTTTTTACTTGATGGTGACGGGGTCTCCCTCTGTTGCCCAGCCTAATCTCCAACTATGGTCTTATGCGAGCCTCCTGCCTCAGCCTCCTGAATAATTGGGATGACAGTGTGTGGCAGCGTGCCTGTCTTCTGGTGTTAAGGTGATAGTTATAAATATGCGTGGTGATTGCGGATCTTCAGTTGGAGGTGTAAGCTCGTAGTTGAGTTTGAAGCAACAAGATGTTCTCAGGAGGTGTTGTGTTTCTTTTACCTGATGTTTAAGAACTGTAGCAGGGGCTAGGGATGCAGACCTAGGGGGAAGCCCTCCCGAGCATGCAACAGCCCTGGCTCCGTCCCTGGCTCCATCCCCAGTACTGCAAACAAACAAAATAACCATCTGTGCACGCTCCAACCTCAAGCCAAAGCTACCTGGTGGTCCCAAGAATCAAAATACTATCTAAATAGTTATAGATCAACTTAAAATGTAAGTCCCTAAGATCCCCCCAAAATCCATCTCTCATATGTGGAGAGTTATTTTACATATGCAAAATCACCAAGATAAAAACACACATTCAGTGTTAGTTCTTAAATACCTCCAGGACCAAGATCAGAAACCTGAAGGTTTCTGATATTCCTGTTGCTAAAACTTGTACTCCAGGGCTAGGGAGATAGCTCAGCAGTCTAAGCCCCTACCTGGCAACACAAGGACCCAGGCTTGATCACCAGTACCGCATGTCATGCTGGCCCCAGAACATGGCACACACCTGCAATCCCAGCACTGGGGCAGCTGAGACAGGAGAATCACTGAGTCCAAACTGCATAGCAAGACCCTATACTTTATTTTTAAATAAAATAAAATATAATAATATTTAATAAAATAAAAATATAAAATATCTTTTATTTAAAAATAAAAGATATTTTAAAAAACTTTTAAAATGTATTCCAAATATTAATCCAAATAACCAAAAATAGGAATGACTTTCTATTATACTCAAAGAGTATAAATTTCATTATTTAACATGGAAACTTTAAACTGGGTTTGGTGGTGCAAACACTGGGGAGGCTGAGGCAGGAGGATTGCTGTGAATCTGAGGCCAGCCTGGGCTACATAGAGCAACCTTGTCTTAAAAAACTAAATAAATAAATACAACTATAAAGATAAGAATGGCAACAAGGGATGCCAGTGGGTGGATCACTTGCCTAGCATTTGCAAGGCCCTAGTCCAAACCCCAGCACTATAAAATACATAGATTATAGAAATAATTATGAAAGTAATAATGAAATTATGGAATAAGTGAAAAATTTTCCTTATACAAGACCCGAATTTCCAAGGAGGATGAGGTAGCAGTTTGGGGGCTGGGAACTGTCAGCAAGCGCTTCCCCAGGTCTCTACAGAGTTGGAAAATTGAGGCAAGGTTCATGTGATGCACATGCGCACTGGAGGGGTTGCGCAGGCATATGCTTCGTCTTACACGCAGTGCCTTAGAGCGATGTCATGGCTGTCACCCACACACTGATAAGAAAGGACAGGAACTGTAAGCAGGCTGGATGAGGATCGAGGTAAATGCTCTAGGCTGAAATGAAATGGAAACAAGATAAACTGCTGGGGATCGTGTTGTCCTTCTGTTTCTGTGGCTGTGATTTTCCAGGGCTGGTGACCGTGTTCAGGGGGACAATCTAGTTGCCTAATGTCAGGGTCTCTCTGTTCGGCCTAGGCCATCCTGCAAGGTATTCTTCGCTGAAGACCCTGTGAAGATCGTGAGAGCTGGGCGACAGTACATGTTCGACGAGCGTGGCCAGCGCTACCTTGACTGCATCAATAACGTGGCCCATGGTGAGCAGCCCAGCCCACCTAGGCCACGGGGGACAGGGTGGGGTGTGGTGTCCCTGGAGTGAGGGGCCCTGGGACCCAGAGAGTGAATCTACGGCACACCAGGAGGGAAAAGAGCTCACCTGCGTCAGGAGCTGAGGCATCCCGCACTGAGCTGCGCCCTGGCCCTTGGCTTTGCCCTGCGTTTCAGTGGGGCACTGTCACCCCGAGGTGGTAGAAGCCGCACGCAGGCAGATGGAGCTGCTCAACACCAACTCCCGCTTCCTGCACGACAACATCGTGGCCTACGCCCAACGCCTGGTGGCCACCCTGCCCCCGCAGCTCTGCGTCTGCTACTTCACAAACTCGGGGTATGTTTCCCGGGGTCACCCAAACCTCACCCTGCCAGGGGCTCCTACACCCAGGCTTTGGAGTGCATGGTGAAGCCCAGACATCTGAAAGGAGCTGCTTCCCACTTGGGGAGCACCTTGCATTAGGGACCTAGCCTCCCATCTCCTCTTCGCGGCTCAAACGACCCCCCAGATCTATGGCCGCAGAGTAGCCAAAGGTAACCACCCAGATAGAGCTTTCAAGATGCTATTGAGAAGCAAGAAATGGAAGCCCAAGCCTGCGTCCTTTGCAGCATTCAGCAAACTGAGGCAGGAGGATTGCTACCAGTTCTAGGGCAGCTTGAACTACATGATGACACGCTTTCTTCAGTCAAATAAATTTTAAAAATTAACAAGGACTTCTAATAAAGAAAGCTACTATACAAGCTACATTTTTTGTAGATTGATTGATTGATTGATTGATTGATTTGGTACAGGGGCCTCACTAGGCACCTCAGACTCTAGTGGTCTTATTTACAGCCTCCCCAGCACTGGGGTTATAGGCCCACTCCACCACACCCAGTCTCTGTGGCCCTCCACGTATCAGGAGGTGGGGCCAGTGCCGTTTGCGGTGCTGGGGATCAAACCCTAGTCTCTGTGCTTGCCTACACAGGCACTTAGTCCACTAAGCTATCTCGCCAACTTTAGATTTTGTTTTTTTGAGACAGTGTCTCTTGGTATATAGTTCAGGCTGCCCTTTGTAGGGCTCTGTTGGTCTCACTGTGAACAGTTCTACCCCGGGGAGATGTGGTGGCAGGAATGAGAAAGATGAACAAGAAGACAAAAGCTGGACTAGGTGGTTGCTTGTCTGTCTGATGGGCAAGACTAATGCAACCCACAACAAAAGGATCTTTTATTTATACTTTTGCAAAGTTTGTAACACATGACACAAGGTTGCCTAGTGACTAATAGCTGACCTGAACTAGACAGGATGTTTTTCTCAGGATTGAGGGAGCTTGTTTTCTTTAGGCACTGAGGCCCAGTTCCACTACACACCTTTGATCAATTTCCTACCTTTCTGCAGCTCCCAGCAGCCCTTGAACTCTCTAAGTAGCCCAGGCTCTGGTGATTCTCTTGTCTCGGGCTCCTAGGTGCCAGCATCATAGGGGTGAGCCCCCAACCCGGGCTCTTTCTCTAGCATTTTTCATCAGTTTTCTCATGGATATTGAGCATATTTCCTCAACATAAAGTCAGGAAAGAAAAGACAAAAGAAGCTCAAGACATATTTCAACTTTTTAATCCTATAAATTCAAATTATCACCTCTGCGTTCTATGACAAGTTATGCAGATATCAAATAGTGTGTTTTTGAAAACACATCTCTAATAACCTGCAACATTTCAAATGCAGTTATATTAGGGGAAAGTTTTATTTATACATTATCAGCAACTCCTGTTTTTATTTATATTTTATTTATTTATTTATTTATTTTGGCAAAACCAGAGATTGAACTCAGGCCCACGTGTTTGCCAGGAAAGCACTTATTCTACTGAGCTATCTCCCCAGCCCTTGCAACTCCTATTTTTAAATGATATATTTTTATTATATTCACTATTTAAAATATTCTGTTTGCTTATATGGTTTTCTCTAGTTTATTTGAGAGATATCTTAATCATATATTTATTTATTCATTTATGTATTTGGTACAGGGTGTTACTACGCAGCTAGGACTTGTAGTGATCCTTGTGTCTCAGCCCCCACAGCACTGGAATTACAGGTGTGTACCACCACACCTGGTTTCAGTGGCTGGCACAGCAGCACAGCGTGTGGTACCCAGGGATTGAACCTGGGTCCTGGTACTTGCCATGCAAGTGCTTAGAACACTGAGCTATCTCCCCAGCCTGACCATGAGATATCTTAAAAAACAAATGTATGATCAGAATATTATTTTTTTCTCTGTAAAGAATTCAGAAGATATTTTAGGACGTAATATGTTGTTATAAAGCATGCATGATATGGGGTTTGACCTTCACTCCAAAAGAACTCTGTAGTGTCAAAGAGGAATTTGTCCTAAACACTGTCCCAGCAAAACATGTGTCACAGAGCACATCTGGGGACAAAGGTCTTGATCCTGCCATACTGCAGACATCAGGCTGAAGCTTGGCTCCATTCCTTCCTTATTGGGCTTCCTTCTCCTGCTTGCTCAACCTCACTCATGATGCTTCCTTGGCTAGGGACAAGGAGCTGATACTGCACCTGCTTGCCCAAGTGTAAGGACCATGATTTATAAGGAAATGGTCAGCAGGTGGCATGGATGGGTCCTCCCTCTGCATTGGGTGGTCTATGATGCTCTGAACAAGATCAGAAAGATGTAGTCTTCATTTAATAAAGCAGGAAACCCAGCAAAGCCATGGTCCAGCATGGCTGACCCATTTCTCCTCTGGTGATCAGGCCTGGTTAGGATTTTCCATGTCTTCGAAGATGACATGGGCAACATGGCTGTAAGTTTTACTGGGTTTCTTCTGTGGGCCTCATTTTTTAATTGTACGTATGTCATGTTCATTATTGAAAACACCTAGAAAACCTGCATCTGAGGCAGAAATGAAGTAAGGGTGAAGAGGGGGATGTCAGCTTGTCACTGCGCACACTGTTTTGGGATGACTGTCACTTTACAACTTTGGTAATCACTGTAAAAGCGATTGCCACACTGACCCTCCCTACCCTGCTGTCCTTACAGATCTGAAGCTAATGACTTAGCCTTACGCCTGGCTCGGCAGTTCCGGGGCCACCAAGATGTGATCACCCTGGACCAGTAAGTCTGGGCACAAGATATCCAGGCATGAAGCCCTGGAGAAATAAAGCTGTGCTGATCCCAGGCCTTCTAACCCTGCCCACACATGTGGCTAAGTGAGGATAAGGCACTGAAATTCAGAGGAGAGCAGTAGACCTGCAAATCAGGGGGCTCTCTGGGGAGTGGCATGCTGGTACCCCACTGCTCCCAAACTCCAGGCCGATTTTCACACACTCTTGATTGTGCTTCTGCAGTCTCTGCTAACTTAACCCTTTTTTTAAAGAAAATCGCCATCCGTTTCTTAGAGATCCAACCATTCACTTCACAATTACGATTACCCCTGTCATCTGTTCCACAGATAATTTAAACTTTAAAGAGGGCCAGCAGCCCAACTAGATTTCAGTATTGTGACTATGAACTCCACATTCAACCTTGCTTCTCAACCATAAACTTATTATACTTTAAATAAGAAATTTGACAACTTTTATCCTTCCACGGGAGAGTTATTATTATTATTTTTTTATCAATCCTGTACCCCTGCTAACTTCAGCTACACAGGAGAGAACTAAACAAGCACCTCATTCCATGCCCTCTGGCAGCCACCTCTCAGGTTGTGGGATGATCGTGGTAAGCACTTCCCGTTGTCCCTGCATTTGCTGCCATGAGCAGTACAAGCCCATCACCTGACACTTTTGTAGGTCCGAAATCCCAAATAGAAAGTGTTCATTCTACAGCCCACCCTTCCCCCTTGGGGAAGCCCAGGGTCCTGCTGTCTGTACCCACCCACTGGCCTTTGTGGGCTTTCGGTCCCTTCTGCCTCCTCCACTCACTTATAGGACACTGTGCCACCTGTGATCTGCCCAGTCTCCCCATAACAACCATCAGTCTGGTCCCATTTGCAAATTCCCTTTTGCCTTGATACCTAAGCAGTTGGTAGGTTCTGAATAGTAGGATATAATAGTCAATATCTTTGTTGGGTGGGGCGGTCCTAAGATCTCTTTTATTCCCATCCCCTTTAGCTACAGACAACAATAATAATGCTACTTAATGTGTATCTTTTATTTTAGAGTCCATGTGAAAAGTATTTGATGTGTGCCTGTTTTAATTGTTCAAAGATTGCTACAGATCTGTTTCTTCCAGTTTCTGCCTGTGTCTTCCTCATACATTTCAACACTATAGGTGGATATCTGTCCTGTTCTTCTCACTCAGAACTGCCAGTTAGAAGTTCCACGTTGCCCATAGATGAAATTTAAGATGTTGTAGTAGCCAGGAAACCCAAGTCATCATTGTTTCAATGTATGATCAGTGTAAGGGACGGAGAGAGCCCACATTCCTTGTCACACTGAGTATGCAATGTCCATACCTCAGCTATGTCATATGTCAGCTCAGATCAGACAAGCTACTCTCCAAGAGCCTGGCAGCCACAGGCAGGAGCAGCTACCACCAAGCACAACAGTGCAGTTCAGGTGGAGCTTTCCCTGGGACAGTTGCCATGGCTACCACAAGCTGGGCCCACCAGCATCCTTCCCAAAGTGCCTCTGAAAATTTCTTAGGAGTAAGCGCCCAGCACAGGGCTGCCTTCACAATGGCTGTCCCCTATACAGAACATGCAGTCCCCATTTTTCATATCTTCACCCAAACTTCAGAGTTCAGCCTTTTAATTGGTCATATTTTGTGCCAGTGTGATAGGCGCAGCATACCATCTCAGCGTTACCTAATTCTCCTTTTTCTAATCAACAATCTGAGCACCTCTCTATGTGAGCTATGCCTTTGTGGTTTCAGGGACTTCCAGTCCCACTCTCACCCATTGTTCAGCTGGCCCCACCCTCGTCTTATTGGTTCTTGGTAGAGTCTGGGTCAGTCCAGGAGCTCAAGCTTGATGGCAATTTAAAATCACCCGGGAAATCTTTTTAAATGCCACTGCCCTAGCCACCGCAGATCAGTGAGAGGAAACCGCTATCTGCGCCCAGGGTTTCCCTTTGTGAGTCTGCCAAGTGACCACAATATGTGGACAGGGCTGAGAACCACCATTTGGGGCACTGATCCCTTTAGGTCTGAGATATTTCAAATACCTCTTCCCAAGCTGTCATCTTTTAAAGGTGTACGTGACATCCTGCAACAATTGGGTTAGATCAAATAGATAAAATCTCCATTTGTGGTTTGGATTTTCTGTACTTCTAAAAAATTCTTTCTCCTGCCCTACCCATCCCACCCAGGCCAGATCACAAGCTGTGCATCTGCCTCCCTCTTTGGTAATGGGTCCGTGTGTGGAAGCAGAGTCGCTGCATGACTGCTTGCACGTAGATGCCCCTCCAGGTTCTATATCCACTCCAGTGGGCCCTACCTCCTTACTCTGGGACCACCCATTGTGGACACCAAGGCTTTGTTGCATGCCATGACCTCCAGTAGGGCAAGCTCTTGCTCTTTGTGTTATGGATGCAGGGGTCTTTTATGATTTCCTCTCTCAATCTCATTTACATTTTGGGGCAAGAAACAGAAGAAAGAATACATTTCACAGTCATTTGAGCAGGCACCCTTTAGAAACCATCCCAAGCAGAGACCAGTGAGCATCTCTGATAGAAAGCTGTTTTCAGAGATGTACCAGCCAGATGTAGTAGCACAGGCATATAATCTCAACCAGCAGGGACACTGAGGCAGGAAGGTGAACCTGGGCAACAGAGCAAAGCCTTGTTTAAAAAAAAAAAAAACTTTTTACTAGAATACAGTGGTCAGATACATTTGAAAATTACACATGAGGTTTTTGTAGTCAATCTGTTTTAGCAATGTAATCCAAAGAAATTGTGTGTGTTTTCCCCACTCAAAACAGTGGCCCAGGGGCCAGGGAGATGGCTCAGTAGAACAAGTGCTTCCCTGGCAAACACAAGGGTCTAAATTCAATCCCCGGCTCCGCCAAAATAAATAAATAAATAAATAAATAGGCCCATGAGGACACTTGGTTTCCACATTCTTTATTACATGATATAGGATATAGGACAACTTAAGACCTTGCCATGGGAGAGAGACCCTACGCTGTGATGCCTGGTGCTGGTGTTGAGAGCCACCCTGGGTGGATGCTTAGGGATGACGTGCAACATTGTGCTTCATATAATAGAAGAATCTCTCTTGGAGCAATTTTAGCTACTGTTGTTTTTCCTTTCAGTGCTTATCATGGTCACTTATCATCTTTAATTGAGGTCAGTCCATATAAATTCCGGAAGGGCAAAGACGACAAGAAAGAATTCGTACATGTGGTAAGTCTTTTAGAGCCCACAAATCAGAATATGAGTACTGGAAGGGTGCCCAGGGAGAATCCAACTCATTCTTTCTTCAAAACGAAGCCATGGGGACATAAAGGAAGACCTCAGGGAAGTCACAGCACTGGTCCCAAAGTCAAACTCCAGAGAACCATGGTCTAAAGTCTACTGCTGAATTAGTGTAGTGGTAGAATGTTTTATTGGCAGCCATCATTTTATTTTTCTTGCTTCTTGATCTTCAGGTTTTTTTTTCTTTTTTTTTTTTTTTTTTGGTGGAACTGGGGATTGAACTCAGGCCGTTGCGCTTGCCAAGGAAGCGCTTATTCCACTGAGCCATCTCCCTGGTCCCCAAAAGATGACCTTTTATTTATTTATTATTTTTTTTTTTCGGAACCGGGGATTGAACTCAGATCCTTGCGTTTGCCAGTCAAGCGCTTATCCTACTGAGCCATCTCCCTGGCCCCTGCTCCTTGATCTTCAGTGACCTTTTCTATCACTGATGTGAACTCAAAAGTCAGAGGTAATCTGAATTTGCATGACTGCTATAAATCAATTGGCTCTGTGTCAGTGGTGGTGAACCTGTGTGTACTAGAGCCGGCTCCTCATCACTGAAAGCTCTAAAGGTTCACTATCACAGCATATGCTGCTATTGTACAGATTTATTCAGTCAAATAAAGAAGCCAAGCAAGCTGTTAAACTAGTGAAATTCACCTGGTATGTTTGTATTAGGGAAGGGTCAGGAGACATTCATCAGTACCTACTTACTGGTTCATGCCAAGTGATCCCTGAACTTGGGAGGCTGAAGCAGGAAAATCTTTGCAAGTTCAAGGTTAGTCTGGGCTACATAGGAGTTCAAGGTCCACCTGAGCTCCATAGTGAAACCCTGTCTTACCAAAAGCCTCCTCACCATCCCCTCAAAAGGACATCTTCTTTCAAAAGTTTAAGGTCTAGAGTCAGTGCTAAGGCACTCGTTGGTTTTCTAAATAATTCTAACTTGGGATATAATTAATAGGTGTTGGTTCAGTTTAAAAATAGAATAGTGAATGCCGTTTCCATTCATCAGCTTATAAATTATATGATCTCCTTCATTGATTTGAATTTGCTCTTTATGTGGACAGGAATAAAGTCTTGATTTATAGGGGCCTGGGAATAAATCCAAGCTCCAGTTCAAAATTCAAAGATGTCAGTTCTTCACAGAACACAGAAATATGAAGAGAAAAGAACAAAGGAGCCCAGGGCTGCTCAAGTTGACAGCTACCTTCCTACCATGGCCTTGTGGGAAATGCCCTTTTTTGAAAGTATGTCCAGGAGGCAAATCTTGAGAAGCTACATGCTTGCTGTTGGCAGGCCCCAGCTCCTGACACTTACAGAGGGAAGTACCGAGAAAACCACCCAGACCCTGCAGGCGCCTATGCGGACGAAGTGAGGAAAATCATTGAAGAAGCACATGCCAACGGGAGGAAGGTTGGTAATTTGGGAAAACAGAAAACGGCTTTTTTTTTTTCCACCATGCCTGGTCTCAGTGGCCAGTTTAGTGCACCCAGGGGCAGGGCCAGTGCAGCATGTGGTACCTGGAATCAAACCCTAGTCTCTGAGCTTGCCTAAGCAGGCACTTAGTACACTAAGTTATCTCACCAGCCTGTTTTTTTGTTTGTTTTTGTTTAATAAAGTGAATTGAAACTATTGCAGTCAGTGGAGAAAAGAAAAAAAGATTAGGCCTAAATACCCTTTCTGGCCTTCTCCAGTTACAGTTTCATTTGGTCCACATTACACAAGGTGCCTGACTCCGGCTGTGCCACTGAGATGGTCACAGTGATTGTCCTGGAAATATGATTCCTGTGCCTGTCCTGAGCTGCTGCCCCAGGCATGACCTTCTGGGCAGTGGACAGAGTCAAGACGGTGCATAGTGGCAAGAGACGGAAGATGATTGCTGCCATGGGCCAAGCTGCCCCAGAGGCCAGGGCACCAGGCTAACATTCAGGGTGGGCAGTGGAGGTGACATGGGTGGCCACTCTTCCGGACTCTTGGGGAGTCCAATGCTGCCTTCAAGCTGTTTCAGGCTTGCCAGAGTGGCTCTGCACCTGGGTAAACTGAGACAGAAAGCTGTCCTCTTGTCTGGGCCTAGATATCCCAGATAGAACCAGGGTCCTCCAGAATAGGAAACTGGGTTTTTTTTGTTGTTGTTTTTTTCTTCAGTCTGTACCCTCCTGGATTCAGCTTAGTGATTTCCTGTTCCCAGCCCACTGGGGGAAACTAGGGAGAACATTTCATGAAACCCAACGATACTACTGCCTTGCAATGCTTTAGCTTATGCATAGACATGGCTATCATTTTTAAAATCTTCATTTAAATAAAAATGACTTGCTTTTTCTAGTTAAAGCTTTTTTGTCTTCGTGACCGCAGAGCCACTTGCATTCCCTCTGGCTTTGTGTTCTTCTCGGTTGTTTTCTGTCTTCTTTCATAGTATCTCTGTTCAGACAGATCTAAATTCTTGAGAAGTAGCCCATACTTCTTTATGTGGACGATAAGTGACAGGGGCTGGGTAACTTTTTGAGGATATTATTGTTCTATTATTCTGGGGTTGATGCTGCTGGTTAATGACACACAAAGCAGTGAGAGTTTGAGTAGAAGATGGACTTGCAGATCTGTAGCATTTTACACAAGAAACATCTGGAGTCCACAACCCTTATTTTACAGTGATGTCACTAAATATCTAAAAAGTGAAGGATTTCTCCCAAGTTAATATGCCTGTTAGGCAGTACTCAGAACTAGAACCTGGGCTCTCTTGATGTCATTTTCCAGCTGGCCTTGAATTCACTATGGAGCCCAGGCTGGCCTAGAAGCCACAATGATTCTCCTGCTTCAGCCTCCCAAGTGAGACTGAAGGTGTGTGCCACCATGTTTGGCTCTTGATTTCTTGTCCCATGCCCTCCCCATACACCCTCCCCGTACACTCTCTTCTTACTTCTGCCTTATCTTTTTCCTACTTCCCCTCTCTCTGGAATACATCATATGTATTCCATGATGAGTTGCCTGACTGTGAGTATACATTTCATCCAGGGAGAAACCTACAAATATAACTTAGAAGCTTGTTGGGGTGGCCACTACCCATGACATCCCAACTCTGGCTGTCCCAACACACCCCTACATGATTTCTTAGTGGTTCTTATCAAACCAGAATAGTCTTCCTCAGCTCATCCTAATGAAACCACTGCTTTTTAATGGTAAAGAAAAGAGGTAGCCCTCTCATCTCCTCCATTTCTTGTGGCTGCTTTATTTGTACCCTCGAATTTCCAGGACAGAGCTCTAAATCAGTTACGTTTCCAGCAGAGCCAGATTTCCTCCTAATCCCGAGTCTTCTTGCTGCCAGCAGAGGTCTGTTCCTAACCACTTGAAAACAGCCTTCTCTGGAAGAAGCCTCTCTAGTTGCATTAGGAGGACCTCATGGACTCTGATGCATGTTTTCTTATAGATCGCTGCTTTCATCACTGAATCTATGCAGAGTTGCGGTGGACAAATAATCCCTCCAGCAGGCTACTTCCAGAAAGTGGCGGAGTATGTATTTGCCTGGGACACCAGGCTGACACCTTGGTCAGACTGAGGTCTCTGTGACAATTCTGGAGGGCCACACCAGGACTAACATGTGGGAGTGGTAGATGGAAGACACCCACTTCTGAGCCCTGCCATCTCAGGACTCTCAGATGCACCCTGGCCTTGCCCAGGAGCCACCAAGCAGAGGCTGGATGCAGGGTCACGAGGAGGAACTCCTTGCCTGCATCCTGTCTGATCAGCTGGTTCCTGAGAAGGAGGTATTAGTAAACACGGGAGGATTAACCTTGCCCCATACCTCTCATTCAGTGCTATCCTTCCCACTCAGAATGCCATAACACAGCTTAATTTAAGCATACAAACCCAGACATTGTAGACTATGTCTCACCTAGAAATCATGTAATTATATGTGTGAAATGTGGATCTGAGTATTAGAATGCTTTTAACACAGCGTAAGGCTTCAGGATAAAGCTTCATTCTTAGACATCCATAAGAGGCAACCTTGTGGGCTGGCCTGGGGTCGCTTGCTCGACTCCACGGAAACCCTCTTTGCTTTTCAGACACATCCACCGCGCGGGGGGCGTGTTTATCGCCGATGAAGTGCAGGTGGGCTTCAGCCGAGTTGGGAAGAGCTACTGGAGCTTCCAGATGCATGGGGAGGACTTTGTGCCAGACATCGTCACCATGGGCAAGTCAATGGGCAACGGCCACCCGGTGGCCTGCGTGGTGACAACCAAAGACATCGCGGAAGCCTTCCTCAGCTCTGGGATGGAGTATTTCAACACGGTAAACTATGCTCCCACTTAAATTCGAAGAGGGGGTCAGAAGGTGCATTCTCCTTTTATTTGTTTAATTGCTAGTGTTGTAAGGAGTTAAGCTCAGTGTTGCCAAGTAGCCACCCCAGGACACTAGTCGAGCTTTGATCTAATCAGATTCTACACTATCTGGCCTAATATTCCCTGTTTTTTTTGTTTTGTTTTGTTTTGTTTTTTTGTTTTTTCTTCCTTTTTTGTCTTTCCTCTTCCTAAAATAATGCCAATAATTTTTCTAATGATAAATGACTATCCTGCCAAACCTTGGAGAGTATATTTTCATTAATAGACAATATGATCTTCTTTGTTTCATTTCCTATTTAAAATCCCAAAAATATTTTCAAAGTGTTTAGATAATTTAGTCCTATAAATGTTAGACAGTTGTCATAAGTGAAACTAAATTTTTGCCTTTGAGAAATTTCACTTCCTTGGCTTTCATCTCCAAAGTTATAAGGTTTAGACTTGGAAAACTCATCATAGCTTGTACACAATGTGTGACAGAGCACTTATTACAGGTAAAAGTAAAATTCAAATCTAGGGACATAAATCATTCAAAGGAAGTATGCTTGTTCGAGGCCTTCCACACAGCTCTTCAGGACAGAAGCCCAGATTTTCCCCACTGACTGTGCTCTATCGTCCTTGGTTCCCAATGCCACATGCTTGATATCTGCCTTGATGAACCACTCACTTCCCTGCTAATTCCGCGAATGCCACGTGTATGGCATGGAGAGCATAATCTGAGATAAAGTTTTGATCGTGAGGGAATAAAATCATGCCCCAGTGTACATCTGAGAAACTGAATCATAAGAGAATTTTTTATTAAGATTATACTTTCACTTATGTATGTGGGAGCCACATTTCTTACAGGAAAGGCAATATTACTAACTCAATGGCCGTGTTTTGTCACTGTTCTTTTTCCCTGCAGTACGGGGGAAATCCAGTGTCTTGTGCTGTGGGTTTAGCAGTCTTGGATATAATTGAAAAGGAAGATCTCCGAGGAAATGCTAGGAGAGTGGGAAATTATCTTACCGAGTTACTGAATAAGCAAAAGACCAAGCACATGCTGATAGGAGATATTAGGTATGTTTTGCATGAAGCTGTCATCTACTTATTCATTTTTCCAAAATTAAAATAGTTTACATTTTATCTTGTAAACTTCGCAAATGTAAGTAACTCTAGAAAACACTGAGAAAGAAACGAAATCATCCTTATTCCAGAACCCACTGTTATGTTAACATCCTAGTGTTCCTGACCAGCATGCATTTTCTTTTTTATAAAGCTAGCATCATTTCAGCACCCAAGGGATGAAAAAGAAAACTAAAAGCAACTCGATAACACTTGTATCATAAATACTCTGAAAAAGCAATGGTTAGCTTGAGGCCCTTTTCTTTTATAACTGGAAAAAATAAAAAATAAAAAAAAACATAGTTGATGAAAAGTAAATTTCAAAACCTAAAAACAAAACAAAAAAAAATGTTTTAAAAAAACAGCTAAAAATACCTGTAAACACTGACAGGCATCTTGGATGTCAACAGCGTCAGACTTATAGGGTGTCACACCAGCTTCAGATGCACCTGGGGGGCAGTGGTGACAGAGTTCCCCGCAGCAGGTCGGGTTTCTCTTGTCCCCTTTCGCAGGGGCGTTGGCCTTTTCATCGGAATTGACTTAGTGACAGACCGTGAAAAAAGAACCCCGGCCACAGCTGAAGCCCAGCATGTCATCTACAAGTAAAGTCCCTGCTGCTTATCTGTCTGGTTCCTGGGCCATTTGAGAGCTTGGGTTGCTTCCTCTCATCTCTCCAAAAAGAAATTTAAGACACATGCAGTTGCTAGCCCTGGGCTTCCTGGATGTGGGATTCCGGACTGTCCCGCGTGTCAGTCAGTATTTGTAGTGCTCATGTGCATTTCCTGCGTCGGCCAGGATGAAGGAAAAACGTGTACTTCTCAGTGCTGATGGACCGCACCGAAATGTGCTCAAAATAAAACCACCCATGTGCTTCACTGCGGAAGATGCCGAGTTCATGGTGGAGCAGCTGGACGGGGTTCTGACAGGTGGGTCCTGGATGCCGGTGTCTCCTCCTCCCACCCCCACCCCACCCCAGCCACTCCCCCAGGGCCAGGGATATCCCACTGCTCTCGGTGAAGGGTAATGCGTGACTTCCCACTTCACAACAAAAGCAGGAAGTAAAAAAAATGCAGTTTTCAGTTTATAGCAACACAACTAGGATAATTAGGATACTTAAAATTGCATATCTGTGTATTGCAAACATAGTACTACTTTTAACAAGAGAAAAAGAGAGAAGACTTGTGTATCAACATTGACGCAAACACCATAAATACCGCAAAGTATACCAATAATATACCTGAAATGGATTTAGAAAAAGTGACAGGCTGTTGGTTAGCAATTTTTACTATATACTGAAACAGTTGATTGTGGTTTTTTTCCTTTTAAATAATGTTCATTAAAATATTTGTTTTATTCCAACTTAATTTTTGAGGATTTTTATCATTCAGAATTGTGGTCTATTGCAGGAATTCATCACATGTAGACCCATTTTATGTGATTAGATTAATTTATTTTTCTGTTAGGAACATAAATTAGATTAAAAACTAAGCACTGAAAAAATAGTGATGTCAGAAATCACCATGGAAATGTTGGATTTTTTTGTTGTTATTATATTGTTGAAACTCAGCCTCTCCACTGGCTCTCGCCTTCTGGAGTCAGGGTCAGGCTGCCTCCGGGGTCAGGAATCAGGAGAGCACAGGCAGCCCATCACTGGCATTTGGAAGGTCCCGAAGCAGCCTGGTGGTCATGCTGGGGTCCACTCGAAGGACCTCTCCAGCCCAGCAAGCGCTTGAGGCTGTGCGTCCCCAGGTCACAGACCACCCGGTGGGGGAGCACACTTCCTTAGAGTGAAGAGGAGGGCAGAGGAGGAGGAGCAGGTAGGGGGGAGATCTGGATGTGCTGTGTCCAGGTACCAACTCCCTACTCTGAACACGTTTATCATGCATCACGGGCACATACCAAAAACTAAACAAAGCAATGAGACAGAGATAAAACAGGCTACAATAAAACTTTTAAACCAGCAGTTTTAATACCAACGTATTTACTTTAACATATCACATCTGGCTCCCTGTTCTTCATTTGGAGTATTCTTATTGATACTAAAAACTTCTTTTAAAAAAAAATGTTTAAGTTTTTATTTATTTATTTCATACAGGGTCTCACTGTGCAGCTCAGACTTGTAGTGATCCTCCTGTCTCAACCTCCCCAGCAGTGGGATTACAGGGACGTGCTACCACCCCATTTCCATGACTGGCATGGGGTGCCAGCATGACATGAAGGGCCTGTGATCAAACCTGGGTCCTTGTGCTTGCCAGGCAGGCACTTAGACCACTGAGCTATCTCCCCAGGCCCATAGTAACAACTTTTAAGATGTTTATCTTTTCTGTCTTCTACATGACATGTTCCTTGTTTAGTTTTAGAAGAATCCATAGGAATCCAAACCAAACCAGTGATCTCTGAGAGTATTCCACACAGAACAAAGGTATGATGGGCCATCTTATTTTTAGGGGAAGAGTTTAAAGTTTGGGGAATTTAAAGAAAAAAAAAAAAACGCTAATTTAAAAAAACTGTACAGTGACCCTTAGAATGAATCCAGCCCAGGGCGGGGTTGGCTCACTTGCTGAAATCCTGAGTATGCAAGGGCGTGCCCAATGCCTGTGTCACAAGGAATAAAGCAGAGAACCAGTCTTATGAATCATACCCATAAACATCATCCTCTCCTGTGGCCTGCAAAGAGGACTGTCAAAATACATAGAGGGTGACAAGGGGCTGAGGTTCTGCCTGCTTGCCTTGAGGACCTCCTGACTTAGCTTCCTGTTCCTATACTTCTTCTCCACCAACAGAGCTCGGGCACTGTGGCTCCCAGGTGCCCCTGCCTGGTTCTGGAGTGGGCCCATGGAAGGCAGCTGGGCCTGGGAATTGGGCGGGGCCAAGTGGCCTAGTTCCTACTCCTGCTCACATCCATGAGTGGCCTTTTCCTTCCCCTGCCCAGCTGCCAGGGAATGAGAAAGAGCACCCCGCATCAGCAGAGAGGCAACCTCGGGAGGCTCGGTTGCATAATCTGTTATTGTTTATGACTCTGGCAGAATGGGACACTCAGTGCCCAGGGCTGCCCATGCGGCCTGCGCCGCCTGCCAAGTCTTTGCAGACCAACAACATCAGGCTGTGGAATGAGGGCAAGTGCCTGGCGAACAGGGCGCCTTCTGTCTCTGCACACAGCACCAACGGCTCTCAGGGCCTGTGCTGGTCTGCACGGCAAGAGCAGTTCACAAAGTCTGGAACAGAATCTCTGGCATTGAAAAGGAGCCGCAGAAAGGGAGTTCAGCAAGGAAACTTCACCACACGCTCAAGAAACTTCACCACACGCTCAGTTAGTGAAGGGCACACACGCTCAAGAAATTCTGACTTGGAGTCCCAGATTTTATGCTGACATCACATTTCTTTTTATTGATTGATTGATTCTATTTGGGGGGAAGATGAGACATGGTCTCTCTGTGTTATTTAGGCTAGCCTTGAACTCGCTATATAGCCTAGCCTGTCCTCTAACTCACAGCGAGCCTCCTGCTTCAGCCTCCCTAGTGCTGAGGTTACAGTCCACATCAAAGGTCTCTTGAAGAACACCAAGAAGGGGCTGGAGAGGGACGCTGGCTCTGTCTTGCTTTCCTGGCAGTTTCGTAGGCAGTTAGACGAATCCACCAGGATGGGTGGGTGCCCACCGAATGTGTTTCTCTCTGGCAGGTCACCAAGGCACCCCCCAGGGACCTGCTCGGTGAGAACAACCCCGACACCACGGAACACGCCAGCAGGAAGCGGAACAGCGCATGCACAGAAAGCAGCCGCTCCGCCAAAGGCTCAAGGCGCGAAGGCCCAGCTCCACAGCAAGACGGCCGCCAGCTGCCGGGAGCCGTCTCCTGAGGGTTCTGCGGGACCAGAAGGGACCTCACTGCCCAGCCGAGGAGAACATGCTCCTGTTTAGATTTGTGAATGGAAATGTCGTTGATGATAGGAATAAACCCAGGTAGTCAAACCGCATCAAGAGTGTAAGTCAGCCTCTGGCCTGTTAATTCTTCCCCCCAGACTGCTGAGTTTACTAATTTATTAATTCTATAACTGAACTGAAGCTAGCAAACACAGAATTCAGCGGGCAGGTTGACTTCTCCTGTCTTAATGTTTGAAGTTAGGCAGCCAAGGATAATAGATTCTTTGGCTTTGAGGACTTGGTGCATTAAATTATAAATTCTATGAGATATAATATGTAAAAGTCTATTTATAAGCTATAATTAAATAAAATAATATAAATGAAAAGTTACTTTAAAAACGCTTGCCTTTTTTGCAAGGATGTTAAGGATTGGGTATTATAAAACCAAAATCATTTAGAAAAAAATCACATGCAGCAAATATTAAAGAGTGAATGAAGCTGGGCCTGGTATCACACACCTGTGGTCACTGCCCTGGGGAAGCTGAGGCAGGAGGATCGGGAGTTCAAGTCAGCTGATTTTTTGAGTTTACTTTTCCCATGATTCTTTCTTGCCTTCCAAAGAGTTCTTAAACTTTGTGTTTTGTTTTTCACTCCACATGAAGAGACAACATTGCCACAGCTTGTTCCTGATAACCGAGAGGGATATTGACAAGAACATTGCAAAAAGCTTCCTGAGTGGGTCATGGTAATGCCATGGAAACGTGAGGTCTCACCACCAAATGCTCAGCTACGCAAGTGCCTGTGCGTATCCCACCCATATCAGGTTGAGGTCCAGCCCAGGAGCTGGCAAGGAGGGTACAGAGGGCTCCGCACTGAGTGTCCAGGAAGAAAGTTCTGACACAATGGCCAGACCTGCTGCGCTGGCCTGCAATCCCAGCTTCTCAGGAGGCTGAGAAAGGAGGATCTCAAGTCCAGGCTCAGCCTCAGCTGTCCGCATGTGTTCACACACAATGCTGACCATGCCTTCTCCTCCACCCTGGAGCTGTGGTCCTTGTTTAAGAGTAACAGATTTATATTGTAAGCAAGATGCAGAGACAAGCAACAGAACAGACATGACACAGGCCCTGCAGGAGGTTACAGGTAGCTTCCCCAGTGTCTATCACTGAATGAACAGATAAAGAGCACATGACAGGTACACACTGTGGAGCACTACTATGCCAACAAAAGGAGAAACTTGATTCATTTGTAGGAAATGAGTGCAACCTGACACCATAATGTCAAGTGAAGTAATACCACATGGTTTTTATTATATGAGAAACCAATTTATAGATAAAGAGCAAAGGAAAAGACAGACAGCAGGAAGTAAGGAGATGGGTCTCTCTCAAGTGGGCAGGGTACCAAGAGATGGAAGGAGAGAAGGGAGAGGTCGGTGCAGAAAGAACAAACATGTGCAGTGCATGTGGCCCAGCTCCCCCAGCCCCCAGAAGAGTAATCATTGTACCCTACAGACATCTACTTATGGAAATAAAAAATGCAAAATAAAACAGAGGCAGCAGCAGTTTGGGCTCTCTGGGACCTGAGACAAAGCCTCACAGTGAAGTCAAAGACCATGGAAGGGACAGGCAGGTCCCAGCCCTCAGTCACAGCTCCACAATCTCAGCAGCCCCACCCCACACTGCAGGCAGCAGAGAGGGCACTATGGCAGATCCGCCCCCAGATACTGGTCTCGGGCCCATAGTGCACTCTCCACCCCACCCCACTACCCTCCTGAGGGGCTGAGCTGGGACAGTGCTGGTCCACAGATCAGCGACAGGAGTCACCCTCAACTCCACCTCCTGTGATTCTATCCCTGTGGGGACTGCCAATGCCAACCAGCTGCAGCATGGGCTGCTCAGCACCTCTGCTGTGCAGGGGCTTCCTGGTAGACACTGGCATGTGACACAGAACGCTACCTCAGTGTCTCCAAGATGCCCTCTCCCACTCTTGTCCTGTAGTTGCTCTGAGTGGGTGTACAAGGGCCTCTGGGTTCCTGAGCAACAGCCCAGAATTCACCTGTACTGTCACATTCCTGCTCCTTCTCCCTGCAGGGACAACCAGGCAGGGCACCCAAGGCTCTGCCACCAGGGAGAGCATCCATCACCTCCCTTTCAGGAACACCACTGAGTATGGCCATAGGTGGTATCCTCTCTTTACCCAAGGGGCAGGTCTTAGGGTTGTCATGGGGTTACCCCCACCCTCTGGCACAGGAGCCTTCCAAGGACTTTCTGCTGGGTCATCACCGTGATGTTCTGCAAGAGGCCCAACAGGTGCAGGTGGTCTCAGACTAAGTTACGACAAAAGGCAGGCAGTCAGCACAGCTCAGGACAAGCCTAAAGCATACCGAGTCTGCTGCTTCCAGTGCACCCAAAGTCAGCACGGTCCTCAGTGAGCAGCCACCCGCATGGCACTATGCCTCCCCATCCTCCATGCCTGCTACTTCAGCCATCACTGCAGCCACTGCAGCCACCACCTGAAGCTTCGGCTCCTGTCCTTGAGGCACATTGATGTCCACCATCAACCCTCAGAATGAGGAGTCTTGGATTTCTCTTATTGGCCGAGTAGGGCAGTGTGTGTCCAGGGCAATCTCAAGGACTCTCATCTGTGTCTCTGTGATGACAACTCTGACTCCTTGGACCAAGGACTTCCTGCAATGACAAAATGTGATAATGCTTGTTCCTTACACATCAGGTATAGCTTACCGTGTGGCTCTCTGTGCATGGTACTTTCTTTGTGGGAAAGTTTTGCACTACAAATTCAATCAATTTCTCACTTGCTGCATTTTGGTCAAAGCATGTACTCTGCATACTAGCCTTCCTTTGAAATTTGTTAAGGCCTGAAATGGTGACACACACCTGAAACCCCAGTACTCAGAAGGCTGAGGCAAGAGAATCACTAAGAGTTCAAGGTCAACCTGGGCTACATAATGAGCTCAAAGCCAGCCTGAACTATATGGTGAGACCCTGCCTCAAAGATCAAAACAAAAAGAAGAAATAAATGTGTTGAGGGCTGGGATGAGCTGCCCTCAGCTGCAGAGCACCTGCCTGGAAAGCACAAGGTCCTGCATTCAATTTCCAGTACCAATAAAAGAAATGTGTTGAGCCATTACAGCCCAGCATATAATCAATTTCGTTACATGTTATAATCAATGTCCCTGAAAAGAATATGAGTTCTGAAGTGTTCTATATGCACCATTCAGTCAAGGTTTTGATCATGTTCAGATTTTCTCTTCATTGCAAAGTTGGCTTGTTCTATGGGAGGTATGTGTGAGAATCTCCCACATGAACAATTTTCCTAGTTCTCTGTATTTCTATCAATTTTTGCTTTATTCAGAGGACATAATCACATGTGTACAAATAAGATGCTTTTCTTCTATTTTCAACTGTATTTCTAAGTTTTTATAAGTATTTATAAATTTTATTTATGAACATATAACTTATATACATAATTACATATATTTATAGTTTAATTTTTATTCAGGCTGTCCATATTTGACCTTTCATTTGGCTGTTTCTCCTTCCTCGGCTTTTGAGTAAAGATGCCCTTCTTTTGATGACCTACCTGTCTAATGTCTGTTCGCACTTCCGGCGCATCCCTTTTTGGCACAGTTCTGTGCCTCTTGCAGTTGGGGTCCCGTGTCTTTTTTGCACAGAGCACCTTCCTTACCCAGTGCCCTGGCTGTGGCTGGCTGTGCTGACAAGTGCAGGCCGGAGCTCCATGCTCTGACATATGTTACAGCACTGCACTAAGAGCTATACAAGTCAAAGCAAAATCATCAAACTGGAGTTTCCTTGGACCATTTCATTGTTCTGAACACTGTAACTAAGTACTATACCCACTTCATCATGTAGCCTCTGATTCACTTACCAACCTCATCACAGGAATGGAGCTCAGTCATTAAACAAGGAGTATCTGCACTTTTTATCACTCCATGTGCCACCACCCCTCCACAAACTTACAAGTCATACATTTTATCATTTTTAAGGGTTATCCTAGAAATTTATAACACACAGCCTTGACACATTAAAACTCAATACTGACTGGGATTTTTGTCCTTTTCCTGGCTAATACAAGCTTACTGTTTTGGGTTCATTTGTCACACCCTACTGGGAACACCACTGTGCATATCTATACATGTTAACTGTCACTTTACATCATCAGCATTAAATTGGATTTGCACATATCAGGTTTGTTTTTGTCTTCACGTTCCATTGCTCTTCGTTTTTTCTTCTGTCTGGAATCATTTTGCTTTTTCTTGAGGAGCACCCTGCTAGCTAGGATTGTCCTGCCCTGCTATGGGCTCTGGGTTTTACCCTTTGCTTGATGGACAGGAGAAATTGGAGGTCACAGATGCTATGAGACATGACAGGGGAACCTGTGTGAGCAGAGGCAAAGCCAGGAAGGACACCTGTGAACCCGGCCAGCACTTTTCCCTCCACACAGTCTAAAAACATCAGAATCAAAAGCATTAAAGAGTCATCAGTTGACGTGGTTGGTCAAATCCACTAATGAAATGCTGTAAACCAGGTCATGCTGATGCATTGGTTTTCAACGACTAGCAAGCATAAGTCAAATCAAGTCAGCAACAGACGTGAAAACATTAATTAGGAAAATGCACCCCTGCGATGCAGTAATGAACACATGATTATTCTACTAGGTGGTATTGACCTGAACAAAACAGTGGCCACCACCTGCTGATAGACGCATGTTCACTCCTTTTTATATCAATGATAGTATCATCTGGGAATAGGAATAAGTAGCTACACTAGACAGGAATCCAGAGCTCATTTTCCACCTGCTGAAGAAAAGAAAATAACAAGAGCAGCACAGGATTGGGAGTGGAAATGAGACTGCAGAGCAGAAATACAGATTCTGAAGACAAGAACAGAGTGAGAGCCATTGGAGCGCCTGCTGGCCCGCGAGGAGCCCCAGACACGCTGGGGTGAGAGAACAGGAAGTGCTCCTTGTTATCTTTTAGTTTGTTCTTTCATTTACTCATATTTTAGGCTCCTTGTATAAGAGAAATCATGAGATATTTAAGCCTGTGTGTCTGATATATTTCTTTTTCTTTCTTTTTTAATTTTTAATTTCTTTTTTCTTGAGACAGAGTCTTACTATATAGCCCAGGCTGGCCTCAAAATTATGGTGATCCCCCTGCCTCAGCCTCCCAAGTCTTGGGGCAAAAGATGTGTGCCACTACACTCAGCCTATATTTCTAAGAATTCCTTTTCTTGGCTAATTTGGGGTCTGCTAAGCAGCAAGAGAGACTGATGTTAGACTTCAAGGGAGGAGGAGACACAGGAGTCATGTTATAGCTGAGCTATGTTTTCTCTGACCTGCTG